TCACACACTGCAACTATTTTCTGTTATCTTGACATTTTGTTGCGTTGATGTGTTTTTAGCATTTATGTTGGCCGATTTCTTGCACACAGGGCAGTCGCTACAATTTGAACACATAGACTTGACATGTCTGACATTTTGAGGCTTGCGCCATCATCAAACCACTGACATGGGGCATAATGGATCATGACTGCTCCCAAACAGTGATAAAATTCTGATGTTAAGACTATGAGAAAACATGTGTCAATATTTGTGCAGGTGTCATCTGCGTGGTCAAATGGCTGTTTCGAGACCCACCCCTGGTGTCAACTCTATGTAAACTACTATATTAGAATTGGAACAAGATGGTTCCAGGAATACCCTGAGAGCTGGTTCGCCTTGTAGACAATCACGCGAATATAATGCCTGGAACATATATTTTACAGGGGTTCTGAGAGGCACCGCTTAAACGCCATGCCCTGAAGCACTATTCGCTTTGGACATCGTTGTAATCATACACAGGAGCGCAATCAGAAAACATGATTTCAACATTCATATTCAACCTAACTTGACTGCCTAAAGCAACACATAGCAGAATCCCGTGAGCCATCACTTCTGTAGCTAGTTTGAGGCAGATTAGCGAACTATTCTGGGAATTCCCTGAGGCACCAGTCCCCTTGAATGAGCTGGAACAAATTAGCGGAATTAGAATGTATAGCAAAACACACATGGGGATGCTGCAAGGAAGTACCGCAGTTGGAACAATAGAAACCACCAGAATATCTGGAGCATAAACAAGTACACGTCATTGTTCTTTCGTAGTCATCCCAGTATCCTTTCAAAGGAAGTGAGGCGTGGTGGGAATTGGACAATTACATGTTTGACAATGTGCTAGTTATTCCAAAAAACACCGGTTCAAAAGAGAGGTGCCACACAAAAGTCCGGAATAATTTTGTTCCACGAAATTGACCATTCTCCCAATTCGACATGTCCGAGCTGGTTCGTGCATCATGGGTCTCCCGTAATCGGCCTATTATAAACATAATGTTTCTTCTTGCTTCTACCTTTGTTCACCGGCAATGCTGATTCAAGGCATTCCTGAAATCATGATGTCCCGCTAGCTCTAATGATGCAACACATGTTCAAGGGGAGTGGTGCCTCGCAGGATGGGACTCCCTCCTGTAATGTGTGAATTGTCAGTCTTCCAACTATTCAATTTGCTCTAATTGTTTGAATGGGAAATAGGACCTCGGGGAAGCCCAGAAACCAGTTTGTCCTTATCATTCCAGATGCTTGGCGGGGGGAATGCCTCAGGGGGCTTCCAGAGCCATTGTCCTCCTACTTGTTCCTTGGTGAATAACCATTAGAAACTGCTAGTGCCCGTCTTTTCTTTCTGTCAATGCTTGCTTTCCATGTCACTTCACGAAGTGGCAAATGAGGGGAGTCGTGTCCTATTGTTCTTGCTTCTGATTGTTTCCCCAACCCCAACTATGGCGTGCCTCGCTGTGGCTGGCTGGATGGCCGGATGGCCGGGTGGCTAGACGGCCGGATTGCCGCCTAAACTAACCAACCCTGAGCCAACCTCAAACTGCCCCTAAAACCCAATCTAAACCAACCCAAAGCCAACCCTAAGCTAATCTTGAGCCAACCCTCAACCACCGGCCGTGTTACTACTCGCTGGAAGCATGCTTGCAGACTATCATGCACGCGTGCTTATGCGCATACACACAGACACCGTCGCTGGGATCTGAATGCGCTGAACGTTCTGCTGCACTTGCAGCAAAACACCACACCCAAACCATCGCAAACGCGCCTCCTCTGCGGCAGCCGGCTCTTCCTTCCGTGGTTCTTCGGCTGCCTGGTCATTGCTGCAAATGCTGAAGCGCTGTTGGATCAAGGTTTCACATAATGCAAAAACGAAAAGAGGAACAAACACGACATGGATGTCGCTTGGGAAAGACAGTAAGTATGGAAACCCTGCAAAACGCATGTACAGCCTCTCATCAAATGGCTCCCATCCACGATGCGTCTGGTGCACTTGGAACATGTCAGATAATCTATGCTCACCTTGTAGCTTGCCAGACTGGATACAAACTCCAAAAGCCCCAGAGACATGAAGGCTGTAGGCTGCGAAGCATAGAGAATAAGGCCCTAAATGTTAAGCCACAATTCAGCCAGTCAATCATGCGGATCTATGCGCCCTGCCCTTCCCCGGCACTCCTCTGCTTCCTTCTCCGGCGCCTGCTAGTGAGCGGAATGGAATGGAGTGGAATGGCGGGGGAACGAGTCCGTGAGGTTTGGCCCTTTTTGCTTCCGCAAACCCACCCAAAAAGCGCACCGTCAAAAAAGACACCCGCAACTAGTTATGGAAATGAGGAACCCCCAAGTAAGGAACCTTCGTCATGGGTGAGGTCGATATTACTTGCCCAGGATCTCAACTGGCTCTTCTGATCCCTTGCCAGACCTAGACCTCTTGGAAAAGGGGAACAATGTTTGCTGGTGGACCGGGGTTTCCTTGCGTGTCCTTTCCATTAATTCCCTTGTCCTTTAAGATTGTCCATTTCCTTTCCATTCCTAGCTAGACGTGCCCCCAAGGCCAGCCGGTGCTAAAATGCGTTTGTTTTGTAGCTTCCCGCGAACAATCGGTTTCCTAACCATTTCTTTTCCGTTTCCTTTAGCAATGATTTTCTATTCCCTTTCGATATGCTTAATATCCTTTAACAAGTCCCTTCCATTTGCTCTCCATATGTCCCTTCCATTTGTTTCCTTTCCATTCTTCAATTCTGTGCATTCCCTCTCCATTTCCCTCCCAACTCTGTTCTATCTCCTTTCCATTTCCTTGCCGTTTCTTTCCATTCCCTTCCATTCCCTTTCTTTCGTAGCCCGTTTCCATGTCCTGTCCATAATACATTCCCAAGGAGGATTGATATAAACAGCACCGCAGCATTTTCACTCCAAGCGATGCGATGCGAATCTAGATAACCCACCTTTTCCTGTGGGGTTTGCGTTGGTATCCACAGCATGACTTACCTCATGCTGTGGCCCAGTCAATTCGCCGATTTCCTCGGGTTTACCCCCGATAAGCTCTGGATGCCCTGCATCAAGCAGAATGCATCTCCCAAGCCACTCAACTCTCTCAAAAACCTCCCAATGCACTTACAGGAACTCAGCAAAGGTAATTACTGCTTGGTACAGAAGCCTCAGTAGGGAGGGAAAAGACTGAAGGACAGCTTGAAGTGGTTGGCCTGGTACCATGGGTCACTAGGTCCCAACCGGCTGATCGCATCAGCCCAATTGGATTTGGTGGAATGTACTCCCAGTAAAGGGAACGCAAAGAGCAAACACTGAATGTACGTCGCCATCTTGGCTAAGTCGGGGTTGTCGCTCCTGCCCCGAATCAAACACATGAGACTGGCGATGTTGTCAATGAACCACACTCCGCGTCTCCCGCAGAATTGGTCGGGCCTTGCCGTAAGGGCGTGCACCACCATGAATAGCTCCAACTGGGCGATCTTATGGTCGCCGGGTCCTCCGCATCGTAGACCTGTGAAGGGATGATGGCCACAAAGGCCCCCCGGACCTGCACATTGCCGTCCTGGAAGACCAGGTAGTATCCACCGGACCCTTGTCAAGGGGCCTCCAAAGCCGCGTCCAAAGGAGCCACCACCCGTCCATGGGCAGGAGCATCAGCTCCCTGCTTGGTCGAATACTGATGAAACTCAAAGGCGGACAGGAGGTTGGCAATGGCTCGGCTGGAGCCCCCGTGCTGGTGATCCTTGAACGCCTGGATCTCGCCCAAGCCGATGCGCCGAAAGAGGCCATGCTCCAGGAAGTTGACCATACCGTAGAGCTTCGCGGCTTGGCCTGAGGTGAACTTCCCGCTTTTCCTGGCATCGCGCATGAAGGTGAGCACCTTCTGTTCGAGTCGCTCTCGAACCCAAAAGCGCGCACGTCCATGCGTGTGGATCTCTGAAAGGTCGAAGTCGAGTCCCAGGAAGGTACCAACTTCTGCGGCCCCCTGGCGCTTTTCCTCGGCGAACGGGGTGCCCAGCAGGTCATTGAGGACGCCAAAGCTCCACTGGGCTGACTGCACGATCGGTGATGTGGCTGTCATCGAAATACATAGACACCATGATTGCCAGAAAGCGCCTACCCATAGCTTCTGCCATCCGAGAGTAGCGGTTGAAGGAAGTGACCGCCAACGGAAGGCCGAACAAGACGTCGTGGTGCACCTGAAAAGCTGGCCCCTGCCATTCCTGGTGGTACCACACCACCACACAGGCCAAAGCTTCCGGGCGCGACATGGGACAGTGGCGGTAGGCATTCGGCCAATCATCTCCGGCTCCCGTCCATTGCCCCTGCTGCGCGAACCGCTCCCAGGTACACTCCTGAAGGCAGGCTGCGGCGGCTTGAACGTGGAGGGCGGGGGGGGAGCGGTGTGCACAAAACTAATTTGTTTGCATCTCTGGACGATGCGGATTGCCCGCCCCGTGCTGCGTCGTCAATCAGACGCTGTTTACTGGAGGCCTGTGTGATGACACAGCAAGGTGTGAGCCGGTAGGGGTCCCCTTTGGCACACCGTTTGAGCTGGCACAGGTTCATCGGGGGGTCCTTGTGATGTTTAGTGGACTGCTCAAGGATGAAAGCGTCGGTGGAACCCGGCCGCACGCCCGCGATGGTGACGGCGTTGCGCTCCTCCCAACCAGCCAGCACGTCCGAATGGGCGATCGCCTCGACGGGCTGGTGAGGAAAGACTCCGTAATGAGGGGCATAGCCCACCGCGGGGAGACCCTTGATGAAACCGTGAGGGAGGGCCCCACGGCATAAGGACGACGAAGAGTCCCAGCAAACCCAAATCACGCTTCGAGGTAACTCCTCGGATGGCCTCGGACTGAAAGGTCACGAGGTGCTTAGACACCGGCGCCCGCCTGCGTTTCAGCCCCATAATGGCGCCGATGAAAGCTCGCCGACGCTCCTTCAAGTTATGATTGTCCATCACCATGCTAGCCGCGTACGATAGGTCGTCATGAAAACGTGGGAAGAACTTCCAGCGGGGTTGCTGCGCTGGTCCATTGTAGCCGTGCGAGCCTGTCCCACTTGCTGTCGTCCAGGCCAGGGATCCGCCCGGGGCCTCAGCCGTCCGCCAAAGCGGGGCTCCTCGATCTCCGCCTCCTCAAGGTCCACGGTGTGGTCGGCTGCTGCAGCTGTGCGTAGCTCCTCGGCTGACGGTCTGGACGACATTGGCCCAGCCAGGGCAATTGGCAGCGGGGGCAGGATTCTCCGGCGCTTCAACACCGGGGAATGCCGCCAAGATCCTGCGCAAGAGAGCACTTGTGCGCGATGCTGCAGCAGACAGGCAGGGCATGCGGAGGGCGCCACCCGGCCAGTGAGTGCCGAGCCAAGAGGAGGATGACCGAGGCTAAGCTTCGCGAGATGGGGCTGCCAGTGCCGGCTGACCCTGTATGCAGGGGCGCCATCTGAGGCGTCCGGGCACAGCGCTGTGCCATTCTTCAGATGCCCCGTGAGGAAGAGCTCCCCCAGCCTGGACGGCATGGCCTTGACCGAAGGTGCGGGCCTCCTCATCCGCTCACGGGCGTTGTGCACGAGCGACTGGCTCAGGGAGAAGCGCCTCTTCAGCGCCGTGGTCTGGGACCAGATAACCTTCTGTGTCCCCCCGGCACGCCTGGGCGGCTTTGACCTTTGCCTCCTTGTCGGCCTTGCAAATCAGCTGGTAAGGATGACAAGCCAAGCCTCCGAAGCAGTTGCACCTTCTTGAACCAAGACTGCACGACGACACCAGGTTCCAATGAACGGGAACTTGAAGCCGCCAAGTGACCCGTCACATCTAGCACAAGGGGCATCAATGCAGGGTGCAAATTGGAGGTGGGGTATCTCCCCACTGTCTGCCACAAGCAAGGGCGGTTGCGCGAAAGGGGCATGCAACACTTCCACAGCCGAAAGCCAGAGCAGCCGGGCCTGGCCGTGATGCCCCTGCTGCAGCAAATAGTCCACATGGCACTTGAAGTCGAGGTAGGAGCCTGTGGATAAGATAGAACGATCCGTGTGAACTCCTGGAACTGCCAACATTCGACAAGTAACCCTTGCCGAACACGCAAAAACCAGAAGTCAAAATTAGCCAGTTTGGATCATCCTTGAGCCAAAAGGCCCAGCATGATCCACTACACTCCTTGCAGAATGAAGCCTGTAAACCCAAGCCTTCCAACCTGATACAGGATTATATTTTGTGTGTCCTTTCCTCCTTCATTTCTTTGTGCTTCCATTTCTCTTCATTTCTTTGTGCTTCCTTTCCGTTCATTTTCGCGCCCCTTCCGATTCCTTCCATTTCCTTTCCATGTCCTTTCCATTCCCTGATTTTTCCCATTCCGTGTTTTCCTCGTCCTTCTGATTTCATTTGTTTGTCGGTATCCTTACAGTTTCTTGTGCTTCCCGTCCATTTCCTACCTTTCCTTTCTATTCCACTGCATTATTTTTGGAAGGGCGCGCCCCACATTGGGCGCAAGCTACCCTACCACAGGCTAACTTACAATACCAAAAAGAAGGTTTGAGTCACACGCAAAAACCGGATATTTTGGACGCATCCCTCCAAAAGCGTGTAAATAGTCGAAAGGGCCGATATCCGCACGCGTGTATGCTTAAGACTATTTCATGACCTTCCCTTACCCAGGTTCGGTTGAACATCCAAGTTATCAGGGACCCTTACTTGATGCGGAACATTCCTGTTTGCACCTGAGCAGTGGTCAAAGCCCACGGATAATAATGACCACCTGACCGCTTCCATCATACCTTCCACCCTTACGCAGCGCCACCTGCTCCTTCTGCGTGAGGGACACCAGGTTCCAAATCCAAGAGCTCCACGTGTCCTGTGCGAGAGAGCGAGCGAGAGCAAGCGAGAGTCAGTGAGAGCAAGCGAGAGCGAGTGGAGTGGAGTGTAGTGGCGTGGCGTGGCATGACGTGAAGTGGCGTGACGTGGCGTGGCGTGGGGTGCATGACGTGGCGTGGCGTGGCTTGGGGTGGCGTGGGGTGGCGTGGGGTGGCGTGGGGTGGTGGCGACGTGGGGCGGCGTGGTGTGGGGTGACGTGGGGTGGCGCGGCGTGGGGCAGGGCGGGGTGGGTGGAGTGGAGTGGACTGGAGTGGCGTGGAGTGGGAGTGTGAGTTGGGGCGCGGTCGGGTGCAAGAGTGGCGTGGGGTGCAAGAGTTAGGAAGTGAGTGTAAGAAGTGAGTTTCTGAGTGGGTTGGATGCAGGGTGAATGCCCAACAACTGCACGCACGCTGGCCAAATTGCATACAGCCACCCAGCTAACATTGAAATCGCTAGATTCCCTGAGTTGTATTGACCACTAAACAAATGTAGGCAATGCCTGGCACGCATGGGTTCAGGACACGCCCGGCGTCAAAAAACGAGCGAGTACGAAGCCAGATCCTGATTTGAAACTCTGGTTTCATGGGCAGCCCGAAAAAAAACAAAAAGCAGAGACGACAAACGGCAGCTCCTTTGAATTCCTTTGAGCTCATGTTGACATCCATATCCATATATGTCCAAAATGAGTGCCTCATTGAACGGGAGTCGCAGTCCACTGAGATGCGTGAAATTCGGCCAACAGCAAGGGGAAATTCGGCCGATGCTTATGTGAATTTCGGCGACGTAGTTGGGCGGACAGTGGCGAAGCTGACGCGGCCTTGCTGGTCCAACGCTCCAACCTCTACCAGTTCAACACACGCCCACCATCCCGACCACCGCCACCGTCCCGACCGCCCCGACAGTCCCGACCATGACCAAATCGACCAACCGGACCGTCCCATGGTCTCGACCGTCCCGACCGTCCCGACTATCCCGACCAGCTCCAAAATCCCAGCCATCCCGACTCCCGACCGTCCCGATCCCAAACGTCTGTTTTCTGAATTCCGCGTTCATTTTTTCGGAATGTTGCGTCTGTGTTTGACATTTGTTTGTCTGGCATTCGCGTCTGTTTTCTGAAAGTCGCCGCGCCCCCGCCGAAAAGGTGATGTTCAAAACAAAGGAAAAACAACGGGAGTGAGTAAATCGCTAAACGGGACCCCAACTTGCACCTGCGGGGAATCGCTGAGCTCCGGCAACGAGAGGGACCCCTGGCACGTGCGAGACGGGACTGGCCTCACGAAGCTTCACACCGACTTGGAATTCGCAAGAACAGGATGTCATCTCAAGGACCCTACCAAAACAAAACCTCCAAAGACGCCCCAAGGGTTTGGGGCTGCTAAGCCTTATGGGCGGGCAAACTAAATAAACTGATTCCCAAACGTGATCGCTACAAAGTTGGTCTGGGCGGATGGCGCCGAAAGACCTGGATGCCGAACCTTTCCCGACAGAAACAACATGATGCGCACAGGTCTTCCAAGCCCAGCTTCCATTGGAGGGGAATCTATTTGTCAGCCCGGGTGTTGGATTTACACCGTTTAGGGCATGTTGCGGGGTCTTGGTTTGGCGCGAGCGACAAGGGGAAGACTGGGAAACACGGTCAAAGCAGTGAGTCGCGCGACCCAAAGAAGCTTCCTCTTGGCCTGATGACTTTTTGGATTCCATGTTGCCATGCGGCATTGCAAGAATACCCTAAAGTTTTACTAAAGGCCTGTCATCTCCTCATGCCTACCACAAACAGGCCAGTTGACCCCTAGCAACGAAAACAACCTTTTGCAGGCTCAATTTGGAATACTTTCAACAAGACCTACAGGGCTCTTTTCCGGATCCAAATTTCGAACTGGGGCAAACTGGGCGCACGCAAATGGGCGCCTCAAGAGGAGATTCCTGCGCAACATGAAATGCCTAAAACGGTCCCCCAGACGAAGATTCCTCTACAAAATGCCCCCGAAAATCACAAAACAAGGAAACCTCTTTCTGCCGATAGCCCCGAACAAGAAACCAACAAGGGCAAACACTTGCCGTGCCTACCCTTCCTCCCACTAACATGGGCACCTGTGGGAGGGCACCTGAAAGATCAGTTTCCTCTTGCAAAAACCGCCTGTCAGGTATCATGGCAACGCGGGAGAGAGGATATTCCAGGTCTGGCTTTGTTGCAACCCCTCCAAGAATCAAAGGGCACTTCAAAGGAGCCTGCAAAGGGAAAAAAGCGCCGTGCAACAGGCAACCGCCCCGAAGCGATGAGAGGGAGGACTAGGGAAGCGGCCTTTGGCTGGCCTCAAAACGTGTCAAATAGCAGCCTGGGTACCCCCATGAGAACAAGGTTCTGTTTTGCAAAGGGAAAACGAAGGAAAACCACATCTAGAATCAGTTGGGATGCGGCTTTTGTGGATCCACCCGTGTAGGATAAACAATCAACAGGAGGAGGAACGACGTGGATTGCCACAGTTTGCGCATCCAAAACTGTTTCCTAGATCCAAACGGGGCAAAAAAGTTAAAGACGGTGATATAAGCTCTGTCCGGACACAAGTAGAATAGTGAAATAATGAAATACCCATTGAAAGCGTACTCTCAAATTACCTTGCGGTACAAATCAAATATCTGTGCCCAACAGTAGTTTTAGAACTCCCCCAATATGGGCGCCTATATTTTGAGGCTCGGCGAATTCCTTTTGGTAGGAAAAACCGGACCATCCTCAAACATCCCATCAAAAGGAAACACATTCCAGCCAATTGTTTCGGCTTTATAAGATGGTTTATAAAGATTTGAGGAGATGTTGCCCTACGAAACCCAAGTAGAACCATACGGCCAATGGGTTGGCTGGCGCTCAAATCGGTCGTGAGCAGCCCACTGAAAGGGGATCGGGAACCCGTTTCAGGTTTTCCTAGCCTTGCCCAAAAAGCAGTTGCTTCACCCTCAGGGTTCCTCCAGAGGCGGGGGTAGAAAGTTGTTCAACGAAGGGAAGTCGCAGGAATCCGTCCACCAAGTTTCTAGCATTGGGCATCTATGAGCCTGTGTTTTTGGAGGGTACCATTTTTACGTTGGGGTGGTTTGGAGGTAGTGGACACCACCTCCAAACCACCGCGCCTGAGCCGCCGAGGACGTCTCTAGGTCCATGGTGACCACACTGTCCACCTTGACCGCCTGCTGCGTAAAGCGCGGTCAAAAAGCGCGCAGAAATTCCTAGGACCTTTAGGCTGTGTGGGAAATGGAAACCCTTTTCCCCAAAGGATACATCCGAACATTACCTGACTCAGAATGGCACTGTCCACATCAATGTGATTTTCAACATGACTACAATGTATGTGCTTCAGCAACCAGAAGGGACTTGGTAGTGTAGAAAGCCTGGTTAAGGTTTGCCTCCAGATCCTTGTCACGGGCCCTGGGTTGTCCGCTTGCCAACTTTGGATTGGTGGAATCCTATGGACAAACACTTGGAATACCTCAGGAAAGAATCGAGGGAACCGGGTGTAACTGTCTAACCAAGAAGAGCAAAGACCACCCCGGGTGGCGTGGGCGGCGTGACGTGGGGTGGCGTGGCGTGGTGTGGTGTGGGGTGGGGTGGCGTGGCGTGGGGTGGGTGGCGTGGCCTGGCGTGGGGTGGCGTGGCGTGGAGTGGAGTGGAGTGGAGTGGAGTGGAATGGAGTGGAGTGGAGTGGAGTGGAGTGGAGTGGAGTGGAGTGGAGTGGGGTGGCGTGGCGTGGCGTGGCGTGGCGTGGGGTGGGGTGGTTGGTGGCGCGCGGGTGGCCGTTGGCCGGGCGTGGCGTGGGGTTAGGGGGGGCGGGGTGGGTGGAGTGGAGTGGAGTGGAGTGGGTGGCGTGGCCTGGCGTGGAGTGGAGTGGAGTGGAGTGGAGTGGAGTGGAGTGGAGTGGAGTGGAGTGGAGTGGAGTGGAGTGGGGTGGGGTGGGGTGGGGTGGGGTGGCGTGGCGTGGCGTGACGTGGGACGGCGGCGTGGCGTGGCGTGACGTGGGGTGGCGTGGCGTGGGGTAGGGCGGGGTGGGTGGAGTGGAGTGGAGTGGGGTGGGGTGGGGTGAGGAGGGTGGACTGGAGTGGCGTGGAGTGGGAGTGGAGTGGAGTGGAGTGGAGTGGCGTGGCGTGGCGTGACGTGGGGTGGCGTGACGTGGCGTGGCGTGGGGTGCATGACGTGACGTGGGGCGGCGTGGCGCGGCGTGGGGTGGCGTGGCGTGGCGTGGCGTGGCGTGGCGTGGCGTGGCGTGGCGTGACGTGGGGTGGCGCGGCGTGGGGTAGGGCGGGGTGGGTGGAGTGGAGTGGACTGGAGTGGCGTGGAGTGGGAGTGTGAGTTGGGGCACGGTCGGGTGCAAGAGTGGCGTGGGGTGCAAGAGTTAGGAAGTGAGTGCAAGAAGTGAGTTTCTGAGTGGGACTGAGGTGAGGTTGGATGCAGGGTGAATGCCCAATGGCTCACTAGTGGACCTGCCAACAATTGCACGCACGCTGGCCAAATTGCATACAGCCACCCAGCTAACATTGAAATCGCTAGATTCCCTGAGTTGTTTTGACCACTAAACAAATGTAGGCAATGCCTGGCACGCATGGGTTCAGGACACGCCCGGCGTCAAAAAACGAGCAAGTACGAAGCCAGATCCTGATTTGAAACTCTGGTTTCATGGGCAGCCCGAAAAAAAAAAACAGAGACGACAAACGGCAGCTCCTTTGAATTCCTTTGAGCTCATGTTGACATCCATATCCATATATGTCGAAAATGAGTGCCTCATTGAGCGGGAGTCGCAGTCCACTGAGATGAGTGAAATTCGGCCAACAGCAAGGGGAAATTCGGCCGACGCTTATGTGAATTTCGGCGACGTAGTTGGGCGGACAGTGGCGAAGCTGATGCGGCCTTGCTGGTCCAACGCTCCAACCTCTACCAGTTCAACACCCGCCCACCATCCCGACCACCGCCCGTCCCGACCGCCCCGGCAATCCTTGCTCTCGGCCGTCCCGACCATGACCAAATCGACCAACCGGACCGTCCCATGGTCTCGACCGTCCCGACCGTCCCGACTATCCCGACTAGCTCGAAAATCCCAACCGTCCCGACTCCCGACCGTCCCGATCCCAAACGTCTGTTTTCTGAATTCCGCGTTCATTTTTTCGGAATGTTGCGTCTGTGTTTGACATTTGTTTGTCTGGCATTCGCGTCTGTTTTCTGAAAGTCGCCGCACCCCCGCCGAAAAGGTGATGTTCAAAACAAAGGAAAAACAACGCGAGTGAGTAAATCGCTAAACGGGACCCCAACTTGCACCTGCGGGGAATCGCTGAGCTCCGGCAACGAGAGGGACCCCTGGCACGTGCGAGACGGGACTGGCCTCACGAAGCTTCACACCGACTTGGAATTCGCAAGAACAGGATGTCATCTCAAGGACCCTACCAAAACAAAACCTCCAAAGACGCCCCAAGGGTTTGGGGCTGCTAAGCCTTATGGGCGGGCAAACTAAATAAACTGATTCCCAAACGTGATCTACAAAGTTGGTCTGGGCGGATGGCGCCGAAAGAGCCTGGATGCCGAACCTTTCCCGACAGAAACAACATGATGCGCACAGGTCTTCCAAGCCCAGCTTCCATTGGAGGGGAATCTATTTGTCAGCCCGGGTGTTGGATTTACACCGTTTAGGGCATGTTGCGGGGTCTTGGTTTGGCGCGAGCGACAAGGGGAAGACTGGGAAACACGGTCAAAGCAGTGAGTCGCGCGACCCAAAGAAGCTTCCTCTTGGCCTGATGACTTTTTGGATTCCATGTTGCCATGCGGCATTGCAAGAATACCCTAAAGTTTTACTAAAGGCCTGTCATCTCCTCATGCCTACCACAAACAGGCCAGTTGACCCCTAGCAACGAAAACAACCTTTTGCAGGCTCAATTTGGAATACTTTCAACAAGACCTACAGGGCTCTTTTCCGGATCCAAATTTCGAACTGGTGCAAACTGGGCGCACACAAATGGGCGCCTCAAGAGGAGATTCCTGCGCAACATGAAATGCCTAAAACGGTCCCCCAGACGAAGATTCCTCTACAAAATGCCCCCGAAAATCACAAAACAAGGAAACCTCTTTCTGCCGATAGCCCCGAACAAGAAACCAACAAAGGGCAAACACTTGCCGTGCCTACCCTTCCTCCCACTAACATGGGCACCTGTGGGAGGGCACCTGAAAGATCAGTTTCCTCTTGCAAAAACCGCCTGTCAGGTGTCATGGCAACGCGGGAGAGAGGATATTCCAGGTCTGGCTTTGTTGCAACCCCTCCAAGAATCAAAGGGCACTTCAAAGGAGCCTGCAAAGGGAAAAAAGCGCCGTGCAACAGGCAACCGCCCCGAAGCGATGAGAGGGAGGACTAGGGAAGCGGCCTTTGGCTGGCCTCAAAACGTGTCAAATAGCAGCCTGGGTACCCCCATGAGAACAAGGTTCTGTTTTGCAAAGGGAAAACGAAGGAAAACCACATCTAGAATCAGTTGGGATGCGGCTTTTGTGGATCCACCCGTGTAGGATAAACAATCAACAGGAGGAGGACCACGTGGATTTCCACAGTTTGCGCATCCAAACTGTTTCCTAGATCCAACGGGCAAAATGGTTAAAGAGGTGAATAAGCTCTGTCCGGACATAAGTAGAATAGTGAAATACCCCTTGAAGCGATACTCTCCAAATTACCTTGCGGTACAAATCAAATCTGTGTCCCAAAAGAAGTTTTTAGAACTCCCCCAATATGGGCGCCTATATTTTGAGGCTCGGCGCTCCTTTTGGGAGAACAACAGGACCATCCTCAAAACATCCCCAACCAAAAGGAAACACATCCCAGCAATTGTTTCGCTTCTACTAAGATGGTTATAAAGATTGAGGAGATGCCCTCACGAAACCCAAGTAGAACCACTACGGCCAATGGGTGGCTTGCGCTCAATCGGACGTGAGCCACTGAAAGGGATACGGGAACCCGTTCAGTTTTTCCAGGCCTTGCCCAAAAAGCTGTTGCTTCACCCTCAGGGTTCCTCCAGAGGCGGGGGTAGAAAGTTGTTCAACGAAGGGAAGTCGCAGGAATCCGTCCACCAAGTTTCTAGCATTGGGCATCTATGAGCCTGTGTTTTTGGAGGGTACCATTTTTACGTTGGGGTGGTTTGGAGGTAGTGGACACCACCTCCAAACCACCGCGCCTGAGCCGCCGAGGACGTCTCTAGGTCCATGGTGACCACACTGTCCACCTTGACCGCCTGCTGCGTAAAGCGCGGTCAAAAAGCGCGCAGAAATTCCTAGGACCTTTAGGCTGTGTGGGAAATGGAAACCCATTTCCCCAAAGGATACATCCGAACATTACCTGACTCAGAATGGCACTGTCCACATCAATGTGATTTTCAACATGGCTACAATGTATGTGCTTCAGCAACCAGAAGGGACTTGGTAGTGTAGAAAGCCTGGTTAAGGTTTGCCTCCAGATCCTTGACACGGGCCCTGGGTTGTCCGCTTGCCAACTTTGGATTGGTGGAATCCTATGGACAAACACTTGGAATACCTCAGGAAAGAATCGAGGAAACCGGGTGTAACTGTCTAACCAAGAAGAGCAAAGACCACCCCGGGTGGCGTGGGGCGGCGTGGCGTGACGTGGGGTGGCGTGACGTGGGGTGGCGTGGCGTGGTGCGGTGTGGGGTGGGGTGGCGTGGCGTGGGGTGGGTGGCGTGGCCTGGCGTGGGGTGGCGTGGCGTGGAGTGGAGTGGAGTGGAGTGGAGTGAAGTGGAGTGGAGTGGAGTGGAGTGGAGTGGAGTGGAGTGGAGTGGAGTGGGGTGGCGTGGCGTGGCGTGGCGCGGCGTGGGGTGGGGTGGGGTGGCGCGGCGGCGTGGCGTGGCGTTACGTGGGGTGGGGTGGCGTGGGGTTGGGCGGGGTGGTGGATGGTGTGGAGTCGGAGTGGGGTGGGGGGGTTGGCGTGGCCTGGCGTGGGTGGAGTGGAAGTGAAGTGGAGTGGAGTGAGTGGAGTGAGTGGGGCGGGGTGGTGGTGTGGCGGTGCGTGGGCGTGGCGTGGACTGGGCCGGGCCCTGGCGGCGTGGGCGTGCGTGACGTGGGTGGCGTGGCGGGGGGCGGGGTGGGTGGAGTGGAGTGGAGTGGGGTGGGGTGGGGTGAGGAGGGTGGACTGGAGTGGCGTGGAGTGGGAGTGGAGTGGAGTGGAGTGGAGTGGCGTGGCGTGACGTGGGGTGGCGTGACGTGGCGTGGCGTGGGGTGCATGACGTGACGTGGGGCGGCGTGGCGCGGCGTGGGGTGGCGTGGCGTGGCGTGGCGTGGCGTGGCGTGGCGTGGCGTGACGTGGGGTGGCGCGGCGTGGGGTAGGGCGGGGTGGGTGGAGTGGAGTGGACTGGAGTGGCGTGGAGTGGGAGTGTGAGTTGGGGCGCGGTCGGGTGCAAGAGTGGCGTGGGGTGCAAGAGTTAGGAAGTGAGTGCAAGAAGTGAGTTTCTGAGTGGGACTGAGGTGAGGTTGGATGCAGGGTGAATGCCCAATGGCTCACTAGTGGACCTGCCAACAATTGCACGCACGCTGGCCAAATTGCATACAGCCACCCAGCTAACATTGAAATCGCTAGATTCCCTGAGTTGTTTTGACCACTAAACAAATGTAGGCAATGCCTGGCACGCATGGGTTCAGGACACGCCCGGCGTCAAAAAACGAGCAAGTACGAAGCCAGATCCTGATTTGAAACTCTGGTTTCATGGGCAGCCCGAAAAAAAAAAACAGAGACGACAAACGGCAGCTCCTTTGAATTCCTTTGAGCTCATGTTGACATCCATATCCATATATGTCGAAAATGAGTGCCTCATTGAGCGGGAGTCGCAGTCCACTGAGATGAGTGAAATTCGGCCAACAGCAAGGGGAAATTCGGCCGACGCTTATGTGAATTTCGGCGACGTAGTTGGGCGGACAGTGGCGAAGCTGATGCGGCCTTGCTGGTCCAACGCTCCAACCTCTACCAGTTCAACACCCGCCCACCATCCCGACCACCGCCCGTCCCGACCGCCCCGGCAATCCTTGCTCTCGGCCGTCCCGACCATGACCAAATCGACCAACCGGACCGTCCCATGGTCTCGACCGTCCCGACCGTCCCGACTATCCCGACTAGCTCGAAAATCCCAACCGTCCCGACTCCCGACCGTCCCGATCCCAAACGTCTGTTTTCTGAATTCCGCGTTCATTTTTTCGGAATGTTGCGTCTGTGTTTGACATTGGTTTGTCTGGCATTCGCGTCTGTTTTCTGAAAGTCGCCTCACCCCCGCCGAAAAGGTGATGTTCAAAACAAGGGAAAACAACGGGACTGAGTAAATCGCTAAACCGGACCCCAACTTGCACCTGCGGGGAATCGCTGAGCTCCGGCAACGAGAGGAACCCCTGGCACGTGCGAGACGGGACTGGCCTCACGAAGCTTCACACCGACTTGGAATTGGCAAAAACGGGCTGTCATCTCAAGGACCCTACCAAAACAAAACCTCCAAAGACGCCCCAAGGGTTTGGGGTTGCTAAGCCTTATGGGCGGGCAAACTAAATAAACTGATTGATTCCCAAACGTGATCTACAAAGTTGGTCTGGGCGGATGGCGCCGAAAGAGCCTGGACGCCGAACCTTTCCCGACAGAAACAACATGATGTGCACAGGTCTTCCAAGCCCAGCTTCCATTGGAGGGGAATCTATTTGTCAGCCCGGGTGTTGGATTTACACCGTTTAGGGCATGTTGCGGGGTCTTGGTTTGGCGCGAGCGACAAGGGGAAGACTGGGAAACACGGTCAAAGCAGTGAGTCGCGCGACCCAAAGAAGCTTCCTCTTGGCCTGATGACTTTTTGGATTCCATGTTGCCATGCGGCATTGCAAGAATACCCTAAAGTTTTACTAAAGGCCTGTCATCTCCTCATGCCTACCACAAACAGGCCAGTTGACCCCTAGCAACGAAAACAACCTTTTGCAGGCTCAATTTGGAATACTTTCAACAAGACCTACAGGGCTCTTTTCCGGATCCAAATTTCGAACTGGTGCAAACTGGGCGCACACAAATGGGCGCCTCAAGAGGAGATTCCTGCGCAACAAGAAATGGCCCCTAAAACGGTCCCCCCAAAAGACGAAGATTCCTCTACAAAAATGCCCCCGAAAATCACAAACAAGGAAACCTCTTTTCCTGCCGCTAGCCCGGAGCCCCGAAAAGAACCCACAAAGGGCAAACACGTGCCCGTGCCTACCCTTCAGCCCACTAACATGGGCACCTGTGGGAGGGCACCTGAAAGATCAGTTTCCTCTTGCAAAAACCGCCTGTCAGGTGTCATGGCAACGCGGGAGAGAGGATATTCCAGGTCTGGCTTTGTTGCAACCCCTCCAAGAATCAAAGGGCACTTCAAAGGAGCCTGCAAAGGGAAAAAAGCGCCGTGCAACAGGCAACCGCCCCGAAGCGATGAGAGGGAGGACTAGGGAAGCGGCCTTTGGCTGGCCTCAAAACGTGTCAAATAGCAGCCTGGGTACCCCCATGAGAACAAGGTTCTGTTTTGCAAAGGGAAAACGAAGGAAAACCACATCTAGAATCAGTTGGGATGCGGCTTTTGTGGATCCACCCGTGTAGGATAAACAATCAACAGGAGGAGGACCACGTGGATTTCCACAGTTTGCGCATCCAAACTGTTTCCTAGATCCAACGGGCCAAAATGGTTAAAAGGGGAGAAAAGCTCCTGTCCGACATAAGTAGAATAGTGAAATACCCCTTGAAGCGATACTCTCCAAATTACCTTGCGGTACAAATCAAATCTGTGTCCCAAAAGAAGTTTTTAGAACTCCCCCAATACGGGCGCCTATATTTTGAGGCTCGGCGCTCCTTTGGGAGAACAACAGGACACCTGAAGCAGTCAGATGGAAAGGACACCAGAGTTAACCATCCTCAAAACATCCCAACCAAAAGAAACAAACATCCCAGCAATTTGTTGTCGCTTCTACAAGATGTTAGAAAGATTGAGGAGATTGCCCTCAACCACGAAACCCAATAACCCACTAAACGGCTAATGGTGGCTTGTGCGCCTCAATCGACGAGAGCCACCCGAGAAAGGGATACGGGAGAACCCGTTCCTTTTTCCAGCCCTTGCCCAAAAAGCGTTTGCTTTCAACCCCTCAGGGTTCCTCCAGAGGCGGGGGTAGAAAGTTGTTCAACGAAGGGAAGTCGCAGGAATCCGTCCACCAAGTTTCTAGCATTGGGCATCTATGAGCCTGTTTTTTTTGAGGGTACCATTTTTACGTTGGGGTGGTTTGGAGGTAGTGGACACCACCTCCAAACCACCGCGCCTGAGCCGCCGAGGACGTCTCTAGGTCCATGGTGACCACACTGTCCACCTTGACCGCCTGCTGCGTAAAGCACGGTCAAAAAGCGCGCAGAAATTCCTAGGACCTTTAGGCTGTGTGGGAAATGGAAACCCTTTTCCCCAAAGGATACATCTGAACATTACCTGACTCAGAATGGCACTGTCCACATCAATGTGATTTTCAAACATGGCTACAATGTATGTGCTTCAGCAACCAGAACTTTGGTAGTGTAGAAAGCCTGGTTAAGGTTTGCCTCCAGATCCTTGACACGGGCCCTGGGTTGTCCGCTTGCCAACTTTGGATTGGTGGAATCCTATGGACAAACACTTGGAATACCTCAGGAAAGAATCGAGGGAACCGGGTGTAACTGTCTAACCAAGAAGAGCAAAGACCACCCCAACCCAGACATGGTTCTCAGAACTTTCTGAGAAGTTCGTAGAAGGGTTGAGAATAACATCTGTGAACTTGCCGCATGACGCATTCTTTCCACGGATCCCGTTCAGATACCCTTGAATGAATGATGGTAAAGTCTTCACATGTAAAGTCCATGCATTCACATGTCAGTACATTTTCGCATGTGCAGTCTGTTACGGTCATTCGCACGCCTCTAGGCCCATGGTGACCACACTGTCCACCTTGACCGCGCGGTCAAAAAGCGCGCAGAAATTCCTAGGACCTTTAGGTGGGAAATGGAAACCCTTTTTAGGGCCCGCCCGCCCGCCCGCCCCGCGCCCCCCCGCGCCCCCCCGCGCCCCCCCGCTCCCACCCGCCCCCCCCCGCGCCCCCCCCCCCGCGCCCCCCCCGCGCCCCCCCAGCGCCCGCCCCCGCCCGCCGCCTACCGCCCCGCCCCGCGCGCCCCACCCCCCCCGCGCCCCCACCGCCTCCCCCCCCCCCCCCCCCCCCCGCCCCCCCCCCCCGCCCCGCCCCGCCCACGCGCCGCCCCGCGCCGCGGCCGCGCCGCGCCCGCAAACAGGCCGCCCGCCCCCCTCCCCCCCCCGCCCCCCGCCCCGCCCCCCCGCTTTGGCCACCCCCCGCCCACCAAGCGCCCGCGCATCCGCGCCCTGCGCCCCGCCCCCACGCGCCCCCGCCCCCCTGCAAACCCTCCGCTGCCCCGCGCCCCGCGCCCACCCGCGCCGCGCGACGACCATACCCGCGCCCCCGCCCCGCGCACCCCGCGTGCGTTTGGCGTTTTTGTGCGGGTGGTGAATCTCCCGCAACACTTGGCTCAAGGCGCCTTTTGTATATCATTGCATCATTCATGATCGCGTGAAGCAAAAGAACCTTAGCAGGCCGCTTACAGGATTATCCACAAGAGAATCCACCAGGGACAATCCATCCTCCAATCATCCACAGTGGTACATGGATTCTCCGGAATAGATCCAGTAACCAACACAACGACCTCTACTACCACAGGGTACCAGTTCCCTTCGGGTAGGCACCTGGGGCAGTGGGCCTCAATTTGTGGTAGCGGAGCAAAGCTTAACCGGCTACTTCACTCAGGTAGCTGCGGAGCAGGTTCCCCTTCAGGACTACGTAGCGCTTACCACCGCCAGCTCGCATGCACTCTGGCTGACTTGGCACCGTTATCCTGACCTTCGGGGCGCCTCGGGGAATCGAACCCCTGACCTCTTAGGATATAGGCTGATAACGCCTTATCCTGTGGTCAATTTGTGGTAGCGGAGCGGGTTTTCCGCAGAGATCCAAGGGAAGATGTCATCCGATGGAGAAGGCTTCATGGAAGCCTATTCAAGTATGGCCAAAAATCCAGGCTATACGGAGGAAACACTAAATTTATCGATGACCGCCAAGCAGCCGCCACCGTACGACGGAAAAGTCAGCTGGTTCAGGTATGAAGAACTCGTGGACGACTGGGTGACCATCACAACGGTGGAAGCACCGACCTCTGCTCAAAAGCGGTGATGCATATATGTACAAGGCGGTCCTCCAAAACGACCTTTTGCAAGATCCTGATGAAGGAGTCAACAATTTCAAGAGCACGCTGAAGAAGTACTTTTTGAAAGGTGCGACCAACGTGTATCTGTACAGGCTCCTCAGTTTCTTCAACCATAAAAGGCAGAACCAAGAGTTCCTCATTTTTACCTCAAAATTCAAAATCCTTCTTATGAGATTGAAGGCAGCATGGATGGACTTGATGCCCGTTTTCACGGCACAGTCCCCATCATTTCGACAGTCCGTACAGGACGCAAATGCAAGAACAATTGCTCAACATCAGCAAGCAGCCGGTGTTCGAGCACCGCCTCCAGCCCTGCTCAATGAGGACGATCCAACAGTCCTCAGACAGTATATCCAAGGAATGCAGGACAGACAGCGGGACGCATTTCCCTTCGCGGATAATCTCATTGCACAGTTTTTCATTATTCAAAGTGAGCTGTCAGATCAGCAACGAGAGAGCCTGACAAGTGCAATGTCATTGAGAAACATCTCACTAGAAAACTACTCCTATGAGATGCTGAAGACGCACTACCATGAACTCTTCATCACGACGAGGACATCAATCCAAGATCCATCCATCCGACCTCAAGGAGGCAACCGAAGCAACACATTCTTCATCATCGAACAAGGTGAATACGAAGGAGAAGAAGGCTTCTGGGTTGAGGATGAAGAAGGACTTGAAGGATTCATGTCAAACAACGATGAAGAGACGTTCTGGGCCCTCGAGGAGAACGATGCGTTCATAGCAAGAAAAGTGTCGGGGCGGAACTTCAAGTTCAAGAAGAGAAAAGGAAAAGGAAAATCAGGAACCAAGAAGGGCAGTCCCCAACGAGGTGGCTTCAAACCCTTCAGAAAAAGCGGTTCTGGCGGAAAGGCCAATATGGCCAACGAAAACTATGATCCCTACGACCAGGCATATTGGGGAAAAGGCAAAGGAAAGAAGGGAAAGAAAGGAAACTCAAAATTCCAATATCCCTATGATGGAAACAAAGGTTATCCATCCTATGAGAGTGGCAAGGGAAAGAGCGGACAGGAGAAAGGAAAATCCAAGACGTTCGCAGCCACCGCAGAGAAGACGGAGGAGCAGCCCGCCATCCAGCAGACTGCACCATCCATAGGGCCTACCTATGCCGGTTGGACAGACCAAGACTGGGATCAATCATGGACATGGAACGAACATGGCTGGTACTCATCCCATGAGACATCCAGCACAGGACAAGCGTTAATGGCATTCCATGATGCATATGAGTATCCTGGGAAAAAGGCCATCCACGAGAAGCTGATCCAATCAGATACAGTTTCAGAACACAATCTGTCCGTCACAACAAATCACAGCCTTCTGGCAACAAAGCTGATGGCGCCTGTCATCAACCCTCAGCAACCCGACCTATGCGATTCTGGACAATGGATGTACCAGATCTATGGGCAGCTGGCATGCAATCCAGCGTTTTACTCAGGCCATCGAACCAATGAAGGACATCATCTCCTATGAGTACATCCCGGCCGAGACCAAGTTCACTTTTGCAAACGGAGAGACCGCCAGGGTAAACTGGACCCTGCATCTTCGATATCACACAACTCCTCCATGCAGTACCAACATCGACGTCCTTGAACAAGGAACTGTACCGATCCTTCTCAGCATCAGCCAGATGCGGAACCTCTACATGACCATCGAGCACACACCTCAATGTGACAAGATCACATGCAAGGCCTTTAGCATGAACCGTCAAGCAGTTCCAGTATCCGGCACAGGACATGCACTCGTCGATCTCGCTGGAGTTGCAAGAGTGAAGGCGCATGGAGAAATTGCTCACAAGGGCCTCATCAACTATGTCTATGACGATGATAACAGCATCAAGTTTCCCTCCGGGGATCTCACCAAGAGCGAAACTGTTTGTGCAGCAAAATCATCCGAGACAAAGGAGGACCTAGCAACTCCTAAGATCATTGGGTCTCAAAAGCAGGACCATTGGATCCTTGACAAGAAGAACAAGCAGCTCATCCGTGTGCACATCACGCCCCGAAAGGCGCTGTTCACACCAAATGGAGCCAAGGAATGTCCAATCAATCCTGATCACATTAGCCGAGAACGTACCACGGAAATCATCGATGCATCCGCAGGTGGAGATCCAGACATTTTGGAAGACAATTGGAGACTTACATCCCAGGCAAATAAACCAATGATTAACCTGTGGATAGGAAAGACCATTTTCACCTTCTCGGACAATTCGCTGAAGGACGAAGAAGCAGGTTGACAGGATCATCGACAAGAGGGGCCGGTCGACTATTGAGCCAGATCCTTTCGCACCATCCTCAGAAGAACCAACATCGCTTCCGCTTGCCCTAGGCAGAATCCACAAGCGATTGTCAAATCCCGAAGAGTTGAAGAAACTCCACCTGCAGCATCACACATGACAACAGATCAATTTCGATTTAGAACCCGAGCACTTCATTTGCCGAAATCAACATTCGATCTATTTGACAAGATCCGAAGTGAGTGTGAAGTTTGCCAAGTGGCAAAACATGCACCATCACGAAGCAAGACAAGCGGACTTCGAGCGGACACCTTTGGTGACATGACATGCATTGATCACTGTCAAGTTCCTCTTGGAACTGGAGAACACATCATTGTTTTTGTCATCCTGGATGGAGCAACAACATTGTTCACTGCAGAGGCAGTGACAACTACGCAAGAAGTCGAGAACATCACTGTCCTCAGGAACTATTTTGACCAGTACCACTTGCAGCCCAAATCAGTTGTTGCAGATCAAGCCTTCATGACAGATACATGGGAACATTTCTATCAGTCCCTTGACATCACACCGATATCCTTGGGACCGAATACACCATGGCCAAATCGAACTGAAGCAGCAGTTCGACGCCTGAAGGCACAACTCAAGATCATGCTAAGTTCCATCAAAGCAGGCACTGCACCTGCAACATTGAAGAAAGTGACCTACAGGCAGCTAGTGAAGGCCGCTGCAACTGTCAGGAATCAGACCGTCACCTATGGGGGAGTAACGCCATTGGAGCTCGCATTCGGAAGACGACCAGCAGATCTCATCCAACTCGATGTCGCAACACCA